CATGCTTTACTAGAGACCAAGGACATGCAATCCTGTAGGTACAAAGCATAATGCAGGTCTATAAGCTAAAATAAAAGTGAGTTTGATAAAGCTATTAAACAATAGGAAAAAGTTGAAAAATAAACAAGCCCTTCGATGAAACTATTTGATTAACACGAGAGCTTAACGTGCCTCTTTGAAACTATCCCATCCACAGCTTATATATATTAGAGTTTGAGGCAATGAACGACTCTCATTCTCCACAATCCCGCTATTGCTGTGAACTGAAGTTTCTCTTTCTCGAAGGACCCATGGCCTTTTCTCAATTTTAACCTTTCTCTGGGTACTGAAATAACAAAGCAAAAGTGAGTGCCAAAACACAAAGCTACCGATTCCACAAACCATGATAGTAAGACGTGTCAAGATTTTCAATAACAGCCTCACCTTTCTGGTAAACTATCTTTGATTTTCATGAATGAAACTGACTGTAAAGCATTGAGCAGAGATGGGTCTAGTCCTTTCCGTGGAGGATCAACCACCGCAACATCAGATCCAATGAGCCAAGAAAGTGGGTCCTGCTTGGGAGAAGTTTCAAGTTTTAACAGAAAAATAAATAAATAAACACTGTCCATATCTGACAGAAATACCAATATAGTATGCTAATGATCTCATTAACTTAAATTCAACAACAACAACAACAACAACATACCCAGTATATTCCCAACTGGTTGGGGTCTGGGGGGTCAGTTGTACGCAGATGTTACCCTTGTAATTATACAAGGAGGCTGCTTCCGTAGCGACCCAAGGTGCATTGCGTCGTTTGATATATTTTTTTTCTAGAAACTTCACTAATAGAAGAAGCACTAGAATTTAATTGAGCCATTTTGATCTAGTCTATTATTAGCACTATGCCAGGAGAATTGTCAACAATGACTCTTCCAGCTCCATCATTAACTTAAATTCATATTCTCCAAATTGTTTCAAGATATACATAAAAGAAGGAACCTACAGTTGCAAATGTTGCTTAAATATAGGCATACTTTGATTGAATTGAGAAAGGTATATACATTAAAATGTTATACTAACTTTTGAAGCATCCGCTTGATGCCAGCTGATGCTGCTCTCCGTGTTGGTTGGTAACCGAGAAGCCGTCTTTTCAAAAGAATGTTTTGATTCTTTGTTCACCTCCACGCATTTCACAGATCTGTTAGTGAAAAGAATTGGATTAGTCATTATTGTGTACAGAGTCTGACATCAATAATGATAATAGAAACATAAATTCAACAGTTTCCCACCTGCATTTCCTTGTGGCAGCCAAAGACAATCCAATTACCCCAGCACCAGCATAAAGATCAACTACGGATGCACCAAAAGGGACATACTTTTGTAGTTTACGAAGCAGAGCATCAAAAGCCTGTCAAAAACATCAATTCTATGGAACTGCAATTGCAACTATTCATTAAAGGACATTTTAGAGTTTTCCAAATAGGTAAAGTCTTTGAGAACAGTAGATAGGCAGGTTAAAGATTGTTTAGCATGGTTGAGAACAGGACAAAGAACTTCGAAAAGAAGAATTTGAATTTTCTGACCCTTGTATTTGCTTGCCCAAAGCTTGAAGGGGCCATGGAAACATCAATTCCTCCAACATGCTCCCAGAAGTCTATCTCACCTAAAAGATGTCTCCACCTGTTACCAAAAATAACCTGTGCCACAGAACAACTGAACCGTTAAGAATCATACAAAACAAGCAGCAGAAATTCATTAGAAAATGATGTTCAGGGTTACAATAAGTCTTACATTATTTGTTGATGTCTGAAAGTTAGCCCAAACAGAATGGATCAAATGCACATCTTTCTTTGGTCCCCCTTTGATCCACATATACTACAATCTAAAACTTCATAAACTCATGCACATAGAAGATCCATACACGAAAATGAACCATTTACAACATATGCAGTTATCTTACATTGGCAAGAGCATTCAATTTGTCACAAGTTGGAGAGCTCTCATTTCTTGAATTCCAAACTAAAGCAACCTGCACCTTACCTGTAATTGTTCATGAAATTTAAAAACTTAAATTTCAACCAGGACACTTTCATCATTAAGTATCTACCAACCTTTTCTGTATCTTTCAGATGCAGGAAGTGATGTGTTGTATGTCGTCACAGCCATCTACAAGAGCAGTTGGATGACATACAATGAACTATCAGTAATTCACCATACCCCTCTATAGATTTTATTTGCTTTTTCTTATTACCTTTTAGGGCCTGGGAGTGAAATTTAATACCATATATACTTTCAAAATCATGTAACCATATAAATATTATGAACCATGAAGTCTATGCATCCACGAATTGCTTAACCTGAACGTATCTTAGTTCACCAGTGCCCGTGTCTTCTTCATATGGTACAATATTCAGTTCAGCCATTGCTATCATAACAACGAATGCATAAAACAAAAATAAGAAAAAAAATTTAGTGGCAGCACATTTTCACAAAATTGATATAAGAAAATTTAAACTAAGCCAGCATCAACACCCCCACCTTGCTTTAGTAACTCAACAGCAGCATTAATGCTCGGATGATGGGCTATGTAAAAAGATTATCAGCTGTCTGTAAAAAGAAAGCTGGAAAAAACAAAGTTAAATAATAAATACGAAAATTCGGGACCTTTGCATTCCGGAATATCGACTGCATTATGAGTGCCAACTTCATATAGACCAATCAATGGTCTCATAGATGATCCACGAACTGCAAGCTTCGCACGACACCTCCATTCCCACTACAGGTTAAAAGGAAAGAGCTTTTTTTTTTCCCCCTAAAATGCCTAATTGTACAAACTACAAAGCATCAAAAGAATAAGCACTAGATATGGCGTGAACTTACAAGTCTACAGCTGTCGAAAGTGAAGTTAGAAACACCAACGCCGTTGAAGAATTTAATCGCCTCATCTATAATGGGCGGATCGTGCAGGTTGTACTCGTGAGTACAACCAGAACAGCTGCAATTTCAAACAATACGGAAATGGAAAAAAAAAAGGGAACATTAAGCTGGCAATCAAATAAAACGAATTGAGATAAGACGGAGAATTCGAGATGAAGCTGGAATAGTGAACCTACGATTGAAAGTGGGGGCAGTGAAGAGCGCAGGATGAAGTGGAAATAGAGCTCGTATTAAGCTCTTGATGGAGCAATAGCGGCGGCGGCGGCGGCGGCGGCAAACGCTTCAATAATGTGGGAGAAGAGGAAGCGCGGCACGTGGGAAGAGTAATCGAGGGTAGCGCAGCGCGTGAAGAAAGCGGGAAGAAGCCTGTAGCGACGGCCATGAGTATAAGCTTGAACTTGGGCTGTGGCTGGTGCCCCTGCTCTTCGTCTCGAAGACTTCGAGGCGACGGCGGGAATGTTTGGATAAAGTTTTTTTTTTCCTACATAATAAAACTGCCAAGATATATATGAGATTTTTTTTTTATAGGTCAATTATATTAATGGAGAATGCTATCATCCCGTTGTGGGATCCTAGCCATAGATATACATGTAATCTAGTGATAAATAGTTAATCCAACGCTTAAAAACACAACGGAACCATCCCGTAACGGGATGGTAGCATTCTCCTATATTAATATCTAAAATCTCAAAAAGTACAACCAAATGTCAAGTGACACACTGGAACCAGAAAACTGGACCAATCTTCCTAGTTGACACACACAATGGGGGTACAAATTCCATCAAAGAGGTGAACAACTACAAAACAAAACTCCATACAGGAGAGAAAAACAGACACTATTACACTAAAAGAAACAAAACAACGAAATAAAAATCAAAAGCAACACACACCTAATAAGCAACAACATAGAGTAAAACCTCCCCTAAACCTAACAGCTAAAACCCAAAACTACTTGAACCGTCTACCAAGTCCAAGGGCGGATCTAGAAAATTTGTTGAGTGTGGACCAAAACTATTAAGGAGTTAACAAGTTTTCAAGTGAAAATGTTGTTTTGACCATTTGTCATTCTCATTTGTGAATCATGTTCATTTCAAAACAATGTTTATTGATTGCTTAAAAAATAATTATCCTTCAAAATATTGTATTGCTAAAATCATCAAAACTTAAAATTTAATGATGTATTAACGTGTATTTCAAGATAATCTTATAATAATTTTCCATAGGCAATTTAAATACAATGAATTAATATATTTTGAAAAAAAAAAAATATAATAATTATGTTCCCAGATATGAACAATAACTAGTAAGTGGGAATACAAACTGTTGATGTCTAAAATATGACCAACAATGTGTTCGAACTGCACACTAGGATGTGTACTCAGTTCGTTCTGCACGAACAGATGTGTGTGTGTGGTGTTCAGTTTTATGAAAGGTCCAAATAGAAGTTCCGTTCGTGACTTGTTGAGTAATTAATGAGAGCATTTACTTATTGCATTAAATGTTGTCCTCTCCTCCCTTATATAGGAAGTCTACGAACTTTATACATTTCCCTCTTGGGGATTTTTTGCACTTATTTTGCAAGATATTATAAGATATTAGTCATTCCAAATTTAATGTTAATGTACTTCACAGTATAATCTCTATATTAACGGTTCGTTCGGATCACGCCACATGTCCTGGCTTTTCCCTCATCGTCAGATGAGAGATTTGGAGATATCTTCGCATTTAATGCGCATGGTACGCCTGATTTGGGTAATGATTAAAACTGTTCCCGCTTTCTTTTCTCTGTCCGTTCGGTATGCAACCCATCTCAGCTTCATCCAGTTCGGCTGGTTCTCCCTGCATGCGCTGGGACTTGTCACGTTTCTGCCCCTTTATCTATCCGTCCAGTCCATACCTCGTACAAAGGCCCCCAGGTTCGGATGACACGAGTGATGGCTCACTTAATCGTGTAATTCAGAACTGCAAGTGGAAGTAGGACCGACTCGCATTAGGATATCCATCCGATTCGTCCGAGATTAAGAACAAGACGCTAATAAATGAAAGATGGCTTTTCATGAAACGGCGCGCCTTATCATCTTGTCTTACCCGACATCCCCTGCAGCTTGCGACGTGTCTGGCTTCTATTGGCCAATCGTGGCATTAATGGCGTACTCGAAACGCCTTGTCTCCTCCATTAATTTTAAATACGCATTCTCGTATTATGAACTCCTTGAATCCGAGAACTATAAATACCCATGATGCTATCCTCGCGGAAATTTACTTACTCTCAGACCTTCCCCTTCTATAATTTTCTATGATCTCCCAGAATCGAACAATTGCTCTATTCGTTCGTTCATCGCTCAGATCCGTGACTTTGGTAAGGACTTTTATTTATATATCTCAAATTTTTGGTGTTATTTTCTTTCTCTCGTCTTTTGCCGAATATGACGAAGTCGCCGCAAAGCTATAATGAGGAACAATATGAAGAAGCGCTACAAGGTGAGACGAGCGGTCGCTTGCGGCTTCCTCTCCCTAAGGAGGGCCCGATCCAGGACCTTGCGACTGAGCGAGCTGTCGTCTCCATTCCGACGGGCTACTGGTGCCGCCCCTACCGTGAGTGACCATCTTCAAGCTTGTTCGGGCTAGCCCAGCTTCCGAGTGACATGACAAACGAAAAGATCGTGAAACTTCGCACTTCGATCCGATTGCCACAAGAAATCCGCATGTTCGTACCTTACTGGAGAGAGCATATTCATTGTTCTGCCCCCGGTTACGTAGGCGTGTTCGAACGCTCGGTCGTGTTCGGCCTTAGATTCCCACTCCCTCGTATACTAACCGAATATTTGTGAGACTGGGGGGTCGGTTTCAGCCAACTATCCCCAATCGCTTGGTTGAAAATCATCAGCCTGTTGGTGCTTTTTAATCAGAGAGGCTGGGAAATGCCTCTTTTCTTGATAAAAGAAACTCGCAAAAAGCACGGACAATTCTCTGTATCCGTCCGGGATGCACGGTTCAAAGATCTGATCACTAAAGTCCCCGAGACTTTTAGCAAATTTAAGAATTCATGGTTCTGGGTTGGGCGCGATTGGCCGACCCCTCGTTCGTCCGAAGACTCCGGGGCATCCGAATTTTTTACCGTCCTGACTAGATTCGTTTCACAGATTTGTGAGTATCAATTCTTATATTTTCAATCGTTTGCTCTGATGAATTTTATTTCTTGTTCGTACTAACAGGACGAGTTCGTTGTTTCAGCCAACCACAAGTTCATCCTTGAGTTGAGAGAACCGTTCGCCAACCAACTCACTGAGCTTCTTAAGTTGGACGAGACCAAACGAACCGGGCCAAGCCTTGTAGAGGACTCCAATCTTTTCAGCGTCGGACTCTGTTCTGGAAGTGTCGAACCTTCGTGCACACCAAGTAAGTTTGTCCGTCATATCTCAATTAGACGCCGTTCACCTTTGTCGTTTTTACATAACCCGTTAATCGTGATCGTCCGGTATTTCTTTCACCTTTTTACTCATTGGAAAATCTCCATGGGATAGCTACGGACACAAGAGCGAAGAAATCCACCACGACATCGAAAGGGAAGAAAATCGCATCTAGCTCCAGGCAAAAGACATCGAAATCGAGCAAGAAAATGGACCGTTTGGCCATGATCGAAAAAATGAGGGCAGCGCAACAGCAAGCCGTGAAAGAGGCAGCTTCGAGTCCGGATATTGTCGTGCTGGTGTCGTCACTGAGGAGGAAGAGGACCAGTTGTTCGACCTTCGTTCGAGCAGCCGCAAATGGCCGGTCGAAACTGAGAAAAGTTTGAACCCGAAGAGATTGGCCTCGATCATTATGCGCGAGCAAGTATCTTCGGCGGACGTGGTTGATCGCGCGGGGGAGCGTGTTTTTGAAAGAGAAAGACGCGTCAATCCACCAAGATGGTTCGGACACATATCTTCGGATCGATCCGTCGAGTGCTGCTCGAGTGGAGCGCCTGAAAGGAATCGCGGAGGATTGGTTCATCCGCTTCAAGTCGGTGGAAAATCCTCACGTACCGAACCTGGGTAGGTGGCCGCCGCACGTGATGGATTCGGCCATGGTGCCATTGCTGGGATGGGATGCGCCCATCGAACAGGTTGCTCAAGGACTGTCTCCAATAGAAAGCTAGAGCATTCTGCTGGCAATCTGGGCCGTGCGCTCTGTATGCAGGCGGCGGCGATGGCGGAGTTCCGTAAGCTGAGCTTCGAACACGGTCGACTGACGGTTGATCATTCCCTATGTAAAGACAAGATCCATACGTTGCAGGACAACGTTAAGCGCGCCGATTCGTTAAAGATCAAAATTGTGGAGCTCGAGGGGGAGCTTAAGGTTGTCCGGTTGGAGGAGGTTCGCCTTCTGGAGCAGATCAAGGAACTGAATGGGCGTTGGCTGAGTCCGTACAGGCTATATCCGAGGCCGAACAGAAGCGGACTGAGGCCAAACTCGAATAGAGAAAACTTGAGACCGAATTGCTGAAGGCATCCAAAACTAAAGTATTGTTCGAAGAGGGGTATGAAAAGGGGCGTCAGGCCGGGTTGGACGAGTACCGAAAAATGGAAAAGTTTCTTGCTGACATGGATTTGAATGTTGCGCTTGGATTAAACTGGGTGATTCATGCAATGAAAGAAGGGGGGGAAAACTTGAAGGACCTGGAGGCCATCAGGGACATAAAGTTTGAACGGCTTGCCTTGCCCGAGGACATGAAAGTAGCGGCTGTGGTTGTGGATGACGATGAGAAGACTTATGATAGTCGTCTGATGGAGACTGCCCATTCTAAATCTGCGGCAGACACGACTGGGGCAGGGCCAAGCCGTGATCCGGATGGTCATGATGAGGGCACGGATGAGAATGAGGGCGATGTCGGGCACGAGTAGCTATCACCCGTCTGACCATGAATGTGCTAGTTTTTTTTCTTCTCTCTTTTTTCTTTGTTTTTATTTTGAACAAGAATGTGCTGGTTGTTTGCTCGGACAATTTATTTCGAATGTTTTTGTTTAGGTTAGACCCGGGGATGGTTTATTCCTTGTAGGGTCGTGGCTTTTTGTTGGCTTTTATGGGACTTCCATTTTCTTTATGTTCATGAGTCATGCTGCTTTTCGACTTTGATTGTTATGCTTCTTTCTCTGTGTTTATTCCTGAATGGGCGTGCGATCTTCTTCTATTCAAGAAGAAATGATTTTGGTCCGGACATCATTAGGTTGTCCGGAAACTTACCCTTCTTGGGTCTTATTAATTTTGACCGGACGATCTTAAGTGGTCCGGTTATTACCCTACTTGGGGTCTTTTAATTTTGACCGGACAACCTTAAGTGGTCTGGTTATTACCCTACTTGGGGTCTTTTTTAATTTTGACTGGACGACCTTAAGTGGTCCGGTTATTACCCTACTTGGGGTCTGTTTATTTTTTGATCGAACGGCCTTAAGTGGTCCGATTATTACCCTACTTGGGGTCTTTTTAATTTTGACCGGACGACCTTAGTGGTCCGGTTATTACCCTACTTGGGGTCTTCTCAATTTTGTCCGGACGACCTTAAGTGGTCCGGTTATTACCCTACTTGGGGTCTTTTTAATTTTTACCGGACGACCTTAAGTGGTCCGATTATTACCTTACTTGGGGTCTTATTAATTTTGACCGGACGACCTTAAGTGGTCCGGTTATTACCCTACTTGGGGTCTTTTTTAATTTTGACCGGACGACCTTAAGTGGTCTGGTTATTACCCTACTTGGGGTCTGTTTATTTTTTGACCGGGCGACCTTAAGTGGCCTGGTTATTACCCTACTTGGGGTCTGTTTATTTTTTGACCGAACGACCTTAAGTGGTCCAATTATTACCCTACTTGGGGTCTTTTTATTTTTGACCGGACGACCTTAAGTGGTCCGGTTATTACCCTACTTGGGGTCTTCTCAATTTTGTCCGGACGACCTTAAGTGGTCCGGTTATTACCCTACTTGGGGTCTTTTTAAATTTTGACCGGACGACCT